CGGGCCTAATGGGGTCTTGATTAAGGCTTGGTCTAAAAGCCGCAGAGCCGCAAGGGTTCGCAAGTGGTGAAGCGCACATTGCCATCGGAGCAGTAGTACGTGAAATGTTTGGGGAGCGGTGACGGTAATTAGAAGAACAGGATGAACAATTGTGGCGCAAATACATGGCTTATGTTGTAGCGCCCGTAACGAACAACTGACCCCTTTGTTTGTTGCAGAGTATTTGGTAGACATGTCTGGGACAGTCTGGTTAATAATAGAAATCAACACCAAACATGACGGGCCCCTGAAGCCATGTGGAGTCGGGCCACACTTGCCTTGTCGTCACGCTCAACCCAGGTGCCAAGACATGCATGTGGCTTTAATGTTACATATGTACATGCAGCATTTCCGGCCCAGCGCATTTAATTCTGGCAGCGAGTTCAAACGGCGGCCAGAGGAACATGCTGCTCCAATGCGAGACCTCGACATTGTATTCACCATGGTAGCATGCCTAGATTGAAGCTGGCTTTGCTGAAATGTTGTTCCATCTTCATGACATCTTGAGGCCGTATTGTTCCTGCAGGCTTGGCAGAGTACAAACACTGTGACTGGTCAACATGTCACCGCCAGTCAACGTGGCTTAGAGTCCACCCGCCAGTTTTATACCCCTGGGATCTCGTTTTGATTCGTCAGCCTCGCCCTTGACCCCTGGAGCTTGCAAGTGGCTCTCGTGTGGATCGTCTCAACCACGGAGCACGGAGTACGGGGACACGAACTTGAGGGAACTACGGAGTACGGAGAGCAAGAGCCGTCCAAGAATCGTCCAATAACCAATGTACATACACTGCCCCTATTACTTTGAGATCGAAGGGCCGATATATTACTTCGGTGCGAACATCTAGGCCCTAGGGGAGGCAGGGAGCCCAGTCTGGTCCATGCTTACCATGCATGCTCCCTCTCGATTCAGTTCTGGTCTTCCATTTCTCTGTACTTGTCATGCCCGATCCACCCTCTTCCTTTCCTTCTCCCCAACTTCGTATCCCTTCTCTCTCTGTCTCTCGCTCGCCAGCCGTTGATCATTTTGTTTTTGCGTGTTATTTTGCATTCTATTGTGATTTCGACATTCGTTTGGAAATTCGTTTTTCTCATCACAGATACTCGACCTCCCTGCTGACCCTTTCTCTTTTGCATCACCGCGCCGCCTTGGTTGTATGCGTTTCAGGTCCGCCCCTGGTTCGAGCTGCCGCCGCCACCACCACCACCACACCAACTACATTGTACACCTCTATCGCGGCCTCAATCACAACTACAGCCGCAGATACTGGCCGCCACCTTTCCCCCGATTTCTCTTTCCCCTTTCAACAGTCTTTCAACGGCTGGTGAATCCGTAAACGAGGCGATATTCCTGTCCCTTCGTGCGATCTCGCCTTTTTTTTGCCTGTTTGTTTACTTCAATTCTACCTTGGTTGACCCTTGGCAACTTTTGACTTCTTCGACACCGCTGGACGTATTTTTTTTTTGGTGTAAATTCACCTCTAACACGGTCTTTCAACTTTGAAATCCAGGACCAATATTGGAAAAAAAAAACCAATTCCTTGGATAGTCCTTCTTTCGTTAGCAACCTTTGCCGAATTGGGGAGAACAAACACGACTCTATATCGAATTTCATGCGCATCTGCTGGTCTACAGCTCTTTGTTGCTTGTTTTAAACTCCCTGTAGATATGTACCATATCGCTTCCAGCTTTCAGCCGATGAAGTCGTAACCGAATTTGAAACGATTGAATCCGAAACGCCGAATCGAAGTTGTTCCGTACCCGAGTCGTCAATTTTATCTCGACCTATTTCTCGACATCTTTAGCAGAGGGCAAGAATGGCTCGTACTAACCCGAGATGGAGCTCCTGGGCCCAGGGCATGGTGCTATTTGGTCTCATGGCGACGAGAGTAATGGGGGGACAGATTCTAAAAACCAGCGGTTTCAGCGACTGTGGCTCTGATTCGACCATCAAAGTCGACAAGATTAATATCAGCTACAACAACGAGAACAAAACTGTGAATTTCGATATCGCTGGGTCTAGCAGCAAAGAACAGAATGTAACGGCGATACTCGACGTTACTGCCTATGGTAACACGGTGTACTCGAAAAGTTTCAATCCCTGCGACAAGGGCACATTTGTTGAACGCCTATGTCCGGTTCCCGTGGGCCAATTTGCTGCTCAAGGGAACCAGCAGATCCCTTCCGAGTTTGCCAACATGGTGCCTGGTATTGCCTTCCAGGTACCCGATATCTCTGCTCACGCGACTTTGCGGTTGATGAGCCAGAACGGCGATAGGGTCGCCTGTGTTCAATCCGATGTTTCCAACGGCAAAACAACTGATATCCCCGCTGTATCTTATGTGGCCGTCGGTGTTGCTGGCGCCGCTCTGATCATGTCAGGAGTATCGGCTGTTGGTGCTGCACTGTCCGGTGGTAGTGCTGCGCTTGGAAGTGGCTCTGGCGGAGCCGTAGGCACTATCAGCCCAAGCTTTGGGGAGGTGGTTGGGTGGTTTCAAGGCATGGCAATGAACAGCATGTTGTCAGTCAACTATCCTCCCATCTACCGCAATTTTGCCAAGAATTTTGCATTCTCCGTCGGTCTTTTTCCCTGGTCAGGAATGCAGACCACAATCGATGATTTCCGATCCAAGACGGGCGGCAACTTGACCCAAGACAGCCTCTCTTACCTTCAAAAAGCCACGCTGGTATTCCCAGATGGTTCAACAAGCAGTCCAAACAAAGGGCTATTCAATTTCAAGCGTGCTGTTGACACTTTTGTGGAACTCGCCAACAGGGCGGTTGAAGCTTCTGTCAACCCGACTGAACCTGTTGACAGTGGCGACTCGAATGACCTCCAACACAAAGTGAAGGGCATTCAAGCCTTTGCTGAGAAACTTCTCGTTCCCAAGTCGAACATATTCATGACGGCCTTGCTGATTGTGGCTATCATCATCGCCGCCATCGTCGTTGGCATTCTCCTTGTCAAGGTCATTCTTGAAGCGTGGGCTCTGTTTGGCAGCTTTCCAGAGAGCTTGAAAGGCTTCCGAAAGCACTACTGGGGCTCTATTGCTCGTACTATTACCTCTCTCATCTTACTACTCTATGGCATATGGGTACTCTATTGCGTATTTCAATTTACCCATGGCGACAACACCATCGCAAAGGTTCTTGCCGCTGTTACCCTTGCCATTTTCACTGGCATCTTGGCCTTTTTCTCGTGGAAGATTTGGTCAGTTGTGCACAAGCTCAAGAAGCAAGATGGTGATGCGGCTGCCATGTATGAGGACAAGAAAATCTGGGTCAAGTACTCTTTGTTCTACGAATCATATAAGCGACAGTACTGGTGGCTGTTTGTTCCAGTCATTTTTTACATGTTTGCCAAGGGTGTTGCAATTGCTGCTGGAGACGGTCACGGCATGGCCCAAACGATTGCGCAACTGGTTATTGAGGGCCTTATGCTTTGTTTGCTCTTATGGAGCCGGCCTTTTGAGCGTCGTTCGGGAAACGTGATAAACATTGTCATTCAAGTCGTACGCTTCTTGTCGATTGCTTGTATTTTGCTCTTTGTGCAAGAGTTCGGGATCAAACAGACCACACAGACCGTTGCGGGCGTGGCACTCATCGCGGTACAAGCTACGTTAACTGCAGTGCTCGCAATTCTCATTGCTTGGAATGCCATTAACGCTTGCTGCAAGATGAATCCTCATCGAAAGAGGAGAAAGGAGGCTGGTATGTTACATTCCTCTGGATAAAGCTTTATCCCTAATCTATGCTAACCATTTCACTTAGAACAACTCAAACGCGACATGGATAACCTCACACCTCTTGACGCCCGTAATTCCCTACTCCTTGACCGGGCACCAATGCCAGAGAAGTCAATGTTTGCCGTCTCGAGTGATTTGAACGAGAAGGGCCATGTGCGGAATGGTTCTGCCGAGCGGTTCTATCCAGGCGGTGGCGATATAAGACCACCTGTTGCTCCTTCTGGCGGCCACATGTACCGACCACTTACACCAACTACCGCGCATGACTCCCAGAGCCTTTTGGATGGAGCTGCGCCAATTGGCACATCAGATCGACAACCCACTGTGCCCAGTGTCGACCGAGAGTATCGTGGAGCGTATGCACCATCCACGACATACGGCAATGGAGGAGGTTACAATCGTCGGTTCTAATGTATGGTCATGCTTGACGAAAAAGTGAAAATCGTGAGCCATTAGATGTGGGAATGAGTCAAACGAACATCCCCCCCCCCGCCCCGTGTTCTCTGTAGGCTTGGTTTGATGGTACCTTGTCGTTTAGACGATATTTAGCCTTGTTGCTCCCATTTGTTTCTTATTTGGTTGTTTTAATCTCTCTCCTTACCTTTACATAACAACCCACTTTCAATGACCACTATCCGACGATTGACCTATCCTTGAACACCGCACTGCATCGAAATAGTGTATATAAAACATGGACATCTAAATTGCGCAAAGTATAAAGAATAGAGCGGCATGCATAGCACAGACACAATTGCATTTATTGGAGCTTGGATAGGGTTTTGTACAAAGATGATATAGATGTAGCAAAAAAAGGCCCTTTTCTTTTTGGAAGAAGCCAGATGAATTGCACGCATGCGGTATGAATCAATTGATGTGCTTGCTGTTTGGTCATGAGAAGGGCTTGTGTAGAAAGGCTTTAGTAATTGTAGCTAGCTAGGTATGTTTGGAATGCGATTTGTGTCGACGTGAGAGTGTCTACTACATGACGGGATATTTGAAACCGATGGGGTGTACAATGCCTATGTGTTGAATTATGCTCCTCCTCAGTTCCTTCAACCATGATGATGAGATAGATGGTCTGTAGACCCAGACCCCCAAATGTCTATGAGGATAGCGCCAGACATGCATCAACCGCCAAGCCAACCCTGTTATATGACCATATTAGCACAAGTTGTCAGTCGAAGGGAGGGCGCTGGAACGCCTAGAAAAATAAAGTCCCTACCTTCCCTGTTTCTGGTAAACAACATCGCTAATCACATCTTTATCGAGATCAGGAAACATGCCCGCTAGTGTCTCTACAACGTTTGCGTGCTCGGCACGATGCAGGCGCTGGGCCTCTGCTGCCTCGGCGCTTGCTTGTCTCGCGGCCGCTTCTTCAGCAGGGAGCGCGTGCTTGGCGAGCAACACCTCTTGTTGGCGTCGCAAAGCAGCCTGTTCGTCGCGGTAGTTGGATCGGGGGGATTGGCGATCCGGCGGAGCTGGAGACCGGGGCGCACTCCCGGGGTTAGAGGACGAGCCATTTTCGTCAGAGAAGATGCGGCCGATTGTGCTGAGGGGTTTCTGGATGGTTCGGAGGAGGCCGCTAATTGCTGCGCCATCTTGGGCTTCGCCTTCGTAGGACGAGGTCGAGCGCCGGGGGGTTGAGCCCTCTGCGCCGCCGTCCGTGGAGGGACGCCCGCTTGATCCGCTGCGATGGATGCCGGTTTTTTCGTTGAATGTTGCCTGCTGCTGGACGATGGGGGATGTGGCTTGGTGTTTTTCTGCGATGGCTGATACGGCTGCCTCAACGTTTCTTTCAAACTCGTCATCGGATATAGTCAGTGATGATCGGTCCATGTTCTCGATGAATTGGATAGCGCCCATCTGTGGGAAACCTGCGTTAGCAATTTTGGGCAGAGCATGGCATGCAGGCCGTTGTGAAACATACCAGAGATGACAAGTAGTAGCCAGCTTCGCCGCCGAGCTTCTCCTGATTTCTGAATCGCAAGATGTACTGCACATTGGAAACCAGATGCTCTGGGTTGGATTGCAGCACAACGTAGATCAGAAGCGGCATGAATGAATCTGCTGATGAGTCGGACTTGTTATGTTTCAACAGACCTGTCAGAATTAGCAACCGAGAAAACACCGTGTGATGATTATGCTTCTAGAGGAGCTCACCAAATATCACCTTGGAGCAGTTGAGAACACATATAATTTTGTCTCGTGGCGCTCTATATGATTTGATTTTTAAGAGTTCTGGAGAGAAGGAATGAGCCAACACGTTAGAACCCTTGTGCCATTGACCAACATAGAGACGGGCCATACCTTGCTGAGCTAGCTTCAAAAATCGGCGACCGCTGTCACCTACAGGTGGAATATCCAGATGCTCCAGCTTCACCCATCCATAGATATTGATCTTTTGCGTTAGAATCTCATCGCGCTCGACGTCTTCTTGGTGTTGCCCTCGGCGACCCGGTCCTAAAGGTACATCTCCGCCTCTCCGTCTTGGTTTGGCACCAGGGATGGGCTTCGGAGGCGCAATCGCAGGGGAAAATGTCTGCGTATATAATCGATTCATGACCAGTTTTTCCATTCCCTCGCGGGCATTGTCGAATTCAGCGTCGGACACATCCCTCCAGACGTCGCACAACATCATCTTATTGGCAATGAAGGCCAGGAAATCGCTAGTAATCTTGACCTGCTCGTGAACCATCCACTGTTTCTTGCCAAATTCAGACAAGAACGACTTGAGATACCTTGCAACTGGATCGGCCTTCTTGTTCCGTAGCTGTTCTAAGAACCTGTGAAAATCGAAGGGCAGTGCCGGTTCTGGTTCTGGATCAGGCGGAGGTGGCCGATGCATAGATAGCTGCGGAGAAGTTGGCGCCGTGATGCTAGATGGCCGTCCGTCTTCTCGTGTCCTAGGGGGAGTTCCAAAGGCACCGTCCTTGGGCGGAACGGGGGGTCCCTGGTCATCGGTAGCCCGTTCCTTGGACCGTACACTAGACGGAGACGAGGTAGACATGCGCAAGGCGCTGAAGTCTTGGAGTGGGCTCGGTATCGACTGCGAGAGCGGCTCCAAGCTCGACTTCCGCGGTGGATGCGGAGCAGGCCCAGAAAGAATGGGAGAGGCGATTTCCAGGCGCGGGCTCATGACTTCGTCTACACCAGGCCCACCACCTGCCTCGCTGAACTGCTCCATGATGCTCTGAATTTCGGACCGGGAGCCGCCATCTTGCTCGTCTTCGCTTGTATACCTCTTTTCTTCATCTGCACCATCGGATCTTGACGGTGAGGGCTCGTCGGATCGGTAGGATCTTGCAGTGGTGGAGGGACACCGCGAAGGTGGCTGCGAGGTCACGGGGGTTGCGGGTGTGGGATCGACATAGGCCGACTGCTCGGCCGTAAGATATTGGGCATCGTTTTCGATTTTGTGTGACGACGAGGCCGGGGCCTTTATCGTGGCCACCGAAGATGTCATGACGTCTGGTGTACCTGGCTCATGGAGCTTCAATGGTGCTAGGACCTGCTTCCCGGTGGCGGGTGTTGAGGGCTGTTTGATGTCGTCGGCGGGGCTTGAAGATGCGGACAAAGCTTCGGCAGAGGTAGCATCCTGCTCTGTCCCCCTTTCACCGGAAGTAGAAGCATGCCCTCGCTCGTTGTCTTTGTTCTTGGAGCCGTGTTGCTTGTCCCCGGCAACGGCTGGCTCAACGACATGTTGGGCTGGGGAGTCGCAGAGGTGTCTTGGCTCTACATTTTCTTTGATAGTTGCTGTGTCTCCGCCGCCAGGTTGGCTAGTAACCTCTTGGCCCGCGGGCTCCTCCGGCGGCGACATGCACGGCGTTGGATGATTGCGGTGGTTGTGTTCAGTCGCGGAGGGTCCAGAAACGTCGAGGTCGGTGAGGTTGCTGAGTTGGCGGATATGGGATGCGGGGGCACGCCAGGCAGTTGGACTCGGTAGCAGACGGTAGAAAAGCTATGAAGACATGGAAAGGCGGGTATATCTAGGTTGCGTCCGGGGTTGAGAATGGCGAGCTGACGGTGCAGCGTTGGAATGTCGGCTGGCTCGAGATGGATGATGCATGTGGTGTTGGCCACGGTTGTTGACGCTTGACAGTAGCTCGCGGGCCGCGCGTGTGGAGGAGCACTGGAGGAGCACTGTGCACGGCCAAGTCGGGCCACACGCAGCCACTGGCGGATGGTGGAGGCGGCGCATCAGCGGACCAGACATCAGAGAACTGGACATTGATTGAACGTCCAGATGTCAAGTCAAAGCATTGATGTCAGCACAGAGCATGTCAGTAGACATCAGTGGATTGACATCAGTGGGCCGCGGGGTCTAGTCAACCAGGGCTCGATACGGAGTAGTTACTACGTACTCCCATGCCGTACAACAGCGCCTTAATCCCCCATGTCCCCCCATCAATGTCGACCAGACGGTTGATTGACTTGGTCAATGCTCGGTGCCAGTACGGAGTATGTATTCAAGACTGGTCACGTCACCCAAGATGCTAGCTAGCTACACTTGCATCACGGTGGTGTGTCACATGGGCACTTACAGATCAAGTAATCTACTAGGTAGGTGCACTTGGGAATTATTGATTGATGTCGACAATCGACCAGCATATTTGACTTGGCGCTAGTGTCGACTCGGTTGGCCACGGTTTGGCAAGCAACGTTTCAACTCGTCTCCTCTCATGTCAATTCAATCTCAATAGGCCGGCCACTCTGTAAAATGAGGAGCATATCGTGACGGATTCTTGCTCATGCACAGTCTTGGCAGTGGAATATCTTTTTTCACTAGCCTTAGACATGTAGCGACTCCGTGCCCTCTTCGAAATTCTCGAATCCAATAGCAGCAAGTTGTTACAATGCACGAAACGCATAAACCCCCCAAGAAAAGAAACATGACTCATTTCCTTGACCAAAACACACAATCTCCGTTTCGTAGCGAAAATGCCTCCCCGGTCGACTCAGCAATCGTCATGAAAGTCTAAGCTTTGCAACTCAGCCTCACGATCACCAGCCCAGACGTTTTCCGAGGCCGAGTTAGTCACAACACTTGACTCGGCATAAAAACAAGCCCTCACAATCCCAATAGTATAATATACCCCGACTCATCGATTGAGAACCAGCAGCCTTCAGTAAACACTACTCACCATAAAATCACGGCACCAAAAATGGCTTCAACACCCCCGTATCGCCAAATACGAGCAACATACACGCCCGACACCATCACCGTCTACCAGGCGTATAAACGCTCCATTGCCGATGCCGCAGTGAAGCACCAGAAGCTCAATGCCTCTCCAGACTTTCGTCCCGGACGGATGACTTGGGTCAAGCCCAGCTGGAGCTGGATGATGTACCGCGCAGGATATTCGTACAAGGACCCCGGGCAAGAGCGTATTCTAGCATTGCGCATGAAACACGAGCACTTCATCGCGCTGCTCGACAAGGGCGTGCTGTCCGCGCACACTGAACGGATTGGTGGTGTTGGCGGTGGTGAGCAGGGCCCGCGCGATAAGACGAGCGAGGTCAGGATTCAGTGGGATCCCGAGCGCGATGAGAGACTGCGGGTTTTGCCGTACAGGAGCATACAGATTGGCATCCCGGGGTCGCTGAGTAAAAAGTGGGCAGAGGAATGGATCGCTGAGATTGAGGACGTCACCGAGAAGGCGAGAGGCCTGAAGGCGGCACTCGATGAGAGAGCCGACGTTACGAGGGAGGAGCTGCTGGATATGGGATATGTTCCTGAGGAGAGAGTATTTGAGGTTGGCCACGATATCAGGGAGAGGTTGGGAATGGATCTGGCTGGCTCGTAGATGCTGCATTTACTTTGTAGCTATGAGTGAGTCGGGCTGCACAGAATTTGTATATACCTACCTACCTAGGTAAGCATATACGGGCATGTTTCTGTAGTATACTCTGTACGTGGTAAATGCAAAAGGAAAGACGGAGAAGAAAAAAACCTTGAGCCTTGTAAAGAATTCTTGACCAAACAGCGAAACTCTTGTGCAGGAGTAGAGTGTACTTGGCCATGGGAAAATACAACTGGCAAGACACTCCATATTTACAGCCATCTTGCTTCATCACTTCGACCAAGTAAACCCTCTCATATCCCTCATCTCCTTGGTTTCAAGCTTCAACGTAAATACCAACCTCGAATACCTTGTCTCCAACCCAAATGTCCCAACCACAACGTCATTGCCCAACACAAGGACCCCTCTCCTCGACGTCTTATCCAATACCCTCTCAAGCTCGGCACGGGCAATTTTGTCCTGCTCCTCAAACCCGCACCATGGAACAAAGTACAATGCAGGCGTACCAAATGGATTCTCTGCCAAAGGCTCTAACCCAACCACCAGACACACGCTTTTCGTCTTGGTCTTGTCGGCCCCCGCTTCAATGGTAATCTCTATTGTGCCAAGAACTTTTGGTTCCTTGAGCTCATCAACGGCTGGAATGGGATTCTGCTCAAAGTTGATTTCGTACGAGCGCTCCACGGCACTGCCCTTCATGCCGATGAAGTATTGCCACGTCGGAGAGCGGGATCGGACGCTGAGGGAAAGTTTGTTCAGCGGGTGATGGACTTCAGGATGGAATACGATGCCGCCAGGAGGGCGGGCGGAGGTGCACTTGTGCGGGATGAAGATCTGGCCAAGCTCAGGTTGCTGCAGCGTCGACCCGGTTCCCGAACCGGTACATAATAACGTGGCCAGTTCGTCCGGAAGGACCACATTGTTCATCATGGATAGGCCGAGTATATCAGGCCGAATGCGGGCCATGTCCGAGTTATTGTCCCATGCCGTTCGCTGAAGTATAATCACTGGGCTTAGGGACGAACTTGACCGCTCTCGTCCCATATCACAGTCCAGAAAGGCGAGAAATATAGTACGCGATGTGTCTTTCGGAAAGGGCGTCACGAAAAGATCCAAACGCAGTCCTCTGTTCGAGACCGTGACTGTCCGATTTGAACTCCGCGTGAGATATCTTGACCGACGTGGAATCATATCGTTGTAGTTGCCAAATGCAGCAGGGCTGTCCGCTAGGAGCCCCCAGAACTGCCGCTTGTCTGCTATTTCGACGGGGCAGCTCCATGCATAGAGTGACTCGTCGTCGGTGGACTTTATGATCTCGTCTTGAAGGCGTCTGAATGCCTTGGTGGCCCCCTCGCCGTACAGAAGCGGCATGTTGATATCGAAGATGCCGAGGAGACAGTATGAAGCGTCCTCTGCCCGTGTGGTGGTTCGGTTCGCAGCCCAGCTCATTCTTTGCGCAACCGAAATCCCATCAAGGCGATGGCGACTTTGTAGACCGCCGTCCTTTGATGCTTCGAGCACATCTTTTGGTATCCCTGTGATATCGCGGATGAGCTCCCTGAGCGAATCTCTCGTGAATTGCGCTTCCCAATGCCGATCGTAGAATATGACTTCACGGGGAGCAATTAGTTCCTGCAGAGTCCATCCTCTTGTGAACCAGCGACTGGATCGGAACGTCGTCGAGGCCGGAGTGTCTGTCGCGGCATTCCAGTCAGACAAAAACGCGATGCATAGGCGAGCTTCTTCGTACCATCTGAACATGGAATTGATGGCTTCAGAAAGCTCTGCACTGCTGGATTTGTCGATGCAGCATGTGTCAATCCATATGAAGTCTAATGCTAGGGATTTTGCTACGGCGCAGCTTTTCTGTATCTTGTCCCATCCTCTCTTCTCGCGAGCATCGTGCCTCCGCAGCCGGGACAGGTCATTGAAAGTGATTTCTTCATCAGCCCAGGTGTGTGATAGAATGGCGTATGGCGGGACTTGATCATCTGTGAAAACGCATAGCTCGAATGAAGGGGCGTGCAGTAGCCTCATGACTTGATGGGCAATGATTGTTGTTGAGCTGAAGCTGCGGACAGCACTTTGTTGGAACTCGGAGGCTCGCCCGGTGAACAGGGTGCCCCAACACATACACAGCCCTCCTCGGGCCCATGTCCGTCGGCGTGATATTTGTAGTAACGCGGCAATATTGATATGTACATCGATCAGGAAAGAGTACGAGATAAAAGCACCACAATCAAGCCTCATCAACATTATCATCTCTTGTTTATTTGATACACATAGCCAACTTCGGCTGGGCCCCGGATTACGAAAGCTCCTTCCGAAGAGTGCATGTGGGCCATGGCCAACCAAGGCACCAAAGAGCACCAAAAGGCGCCTCCCTCGCGATCGCTGACCTCTCAAACCTCGGTCGTGGCAAGAAGTAAAAAACGACGAAATAAAATATATTCCCTAACCCGAGAATTCCCTTCCAACGCCGGCGCCTGTATATATACGAACGTAGTAGCTGAAAATAAAGATCTATAGGGCGATTGCGCCTCTTCGGTTCTCACGGACGTGCAGTAATCCCTGGAAACCACAAAACACAAGGAAAGCCTAACAACAAGGTCAGCATAGGTGGCACACGAAGAGTTTGAAAGTAGAAGCCGAGGGTCCCGTACTGCGTAGACAATGACGGCTGTAAAGATGGTTCCAGCTACAGCCTTGCCTTCCACGGGGCTGGGGTCGCCAACGCCTCCAACAAATTCCTCGTGCCCAGTGCGGTATAGCCCGGCGAGAACGCTGAGGATGAGGATGGCAAAAACAGAGATGACGGTGCTGTAGGCGGGAACTCGGAGTTAGTGTAAGAGCTGAAGACGCGGGTTCAGCTACAGAGAGTGCGAGCTGTTATTTCGGGTGAGGAGTCAGGACATACCACGACCAGGCGTGCATGGCACTGACGACGGGCTTCATGATGGGGAGTGGTGGCGCAAGCCCGTCTATTCGACTGATGGGAAATGAATGGCCGTCGAGG